GGGTTGGGAGTGTGGGTGGGTGTGGGAGTGTGGGTTGGGAGTGTGGGTTGTGTATGTGGTGTTTCATTTTATTTTTTTTTCGTCATCTTTTTTTTAGGTTTATCTTCTCTCTGTCTAGGTCTTCTAGGTCTTTTTCTTTTAAGCCCCTTTCTTTACGTCTTCCTTTCATACAAATTCTGTATTGCCCAGTACCTTATATTACCGATCCACAAGATAGCATAAATCGATTTATAATATTTTTTCTTTCTTGAACATAAACTCTGACGGTATTTTTTAGTTTATAAGCACATATAATTAATTTCACTATTTTATCGTTTTTTTTTTGCTTTACCGACATAAAAATTAATGTTTAAATATTTGATTTTATGAATTTTGAAAAATAGCAATATGTTTTAATAGAACTTCAAATTTTGTAATTCTATTTATTAATTAATACTTATAAAAAATTTGAATGAATAATTTTTTGGATGAAATTGGGACTTTGAAAATCTTTTGAAAAATGTTTTCACTAAAAAAAAAAATCAATCATTATAATTTAATGAAGGGCAGGACTATGATAAGAATCCTCAAAGAAGTCATTGAAATTGCCAAATATAAAATACAATCACAATACGCATACTTTATCGGAGGTTGGAGGAAAGTATATTAAGTGGGTTAAGTGGGGTGGTTAGTATCTGATTGGCGGTCTCTAATAAGGGCGACATTAAACCTTATTCGTTTTCTTGGTAGACTATTTATGAATTTTCTTTTGCTAATTAATCGTTACAGTGTCCCGTGTTGCTCATAATGAAAATTTGGATTATTGTACATGTCATCATTACATCATTGGTGCTCTTTAATTTTATAGGTATTCCAAGTCGAATTCAGGTCAATATGATTGATAATAATTTTATTATATTTTTAATTTTATCTATTGTATATTAATAAAATTGCTAGTTCTAAATAATTAAAAAATTGGAGTTACTAACATTTTGAATTGCTGATCCGAATTCTTTATAGTTAAGACCCGCTTTATTTGTAATTTGCTCTTTTCGTGATTACTTAAATAAATAAACGCGTTACTAATTGAAAAAAAAAATAGTTAAGACCTGCCTGATTGGTACATCTAATCCAATTCCGGTTAAGAAATTTTAATCGGATTTTTTTTTTCGGTTCCACTTTTAATTTTAATTTTTTTCTCTTGAACCGATCTTTTACAGATGGTTCTTTCTTTTTTCAGATTTTCTCTTACACCTTTTTCTTTTCTTTTTTAAAAATTTTTCATTTTTTCCTCTGTTTTTTTTTTCATTCTTTTTCCCGTTTAGATTTGGTTTTTTTTCCAAAACCGAAAAATTATTATTATTTTTTTTTTTAATAAATAATCTTTAAGACTTATATTATTTTTTTTCGGTCTTATTTTTTAGACCATATTATTAACGTTAATTATTTTATGAATTTTTTTTTCGGTCTTTTGGACCAAATTAAAACCGATTTCTTCCTTTATTCTTTTTCTTTTCCCCCAAATTTTTTTTCTTTTTCTTTCGAATTTTTTTTTATTTTTTCTTTCTTTTTCCTTTTCGGTTTCTTTTTTCAACCCGAATTTACTCTTTGTTCCTCCCAATAAGTTTTTTTTTTTTCGTTTTTATTTTTTTCGGTTTGGCTTTTTTTCTTTCAAACCGAATTTTTTTTTCCCGAATACACTCTTTCGCCATTTAGTTTGGATCAGTGATCAAATCGATGTTGTGGCGCCACAGCAATTTCCTTTTTTCCCGATTCTTATTATTAATAATAATATTTTTTTGTATCAAGCTCAATATAATAGACTAACATAATTACTTATTTATTTATTTATTGTAACAATAGATCGTTATAATTAATTTTTTTCGGGTAATTTTTTTTTTTCATGACAATAGGTCGTTATAATTAATTTTCTGAGAATTTTTTTTTCATATTAATTAGTGAGATATTTTTTTTTTCTAGAGGATGTAATTTTTTTTAATGCCATAATGGAATCTTTTAAGATAAAAAAAAAAAGTTTTTTTTATAACAATATACCAATAATAATAATATACAAGTCATACAACGATAAAATGGTCTATTAGAAAAAAAATAGACTTCAACCTTTTGCTTGGTCCTGATCATGATAACTTTGAGTTTTTTCCGGATTAAATCAAGGTAAAGCAGAGGGTTTAAATCCAGTGTCCAATATAATATTTCTTTTATTCGATAAACTTATAATCCGTGTTGTAGAGGTTGGAATCGACCGAAAAAACCTTAACCGATTAATAATCGATTAATCAGCTACCATAATCGAATAATAATCGATTAATTAATCGGTTAATTAACCGATTAATATATAAATTTTACAATTTTAACCTGCCATTAACATTTTATAATTTTTCGCGTACTATCACATAACATAATTAATGTCAGAAATATATTTATTTATACAAATACTTAATTACAAAAAATATTTATAAATAGCGTTAAAAATAAAAATAAAACAGAAATTTTGTAAAATATTTAATAAAAAAAAATGCTATACATCGCCTGCCTTTACCAGTATTAGGATGGAACTTGGGCAGAATTAAGAATATGAATGTAACTCCGCCCAAAATGCCATCCTAATGCTGGTAAAGGCGATGTTTAAGCAATACCCTTTTTTTGTTTGCTGCTGACTACTAGTTGTTGATTCCAAAAATGAAGACCTTTTAGAAATTGTACTACTGTAGCTAGAAGATGCAAGCTTTGGCGACCCAGATAACGATTCTTCAATACTTTCAACATTCCTATAGTCACGATATTCATAAAAATCATCATTCAGTTAGTTATCATCCATGTTAAATAGCCACTTTTAATAAAGTTTTATTTAAAATAAATCAATTTAAATTTTTTTATTTTTATTACGTAAATCTATATAACTAGTAAAAAAATAAATATCTGTTTCTGCATTTTTAACCGATTTAATTAATCGATTAATTAATCGATTAACCTTAATCGGTTCCAACCTCTACCGTGTTGTTACTTGATAGGCATATGCAATAGTATTCATCAAAACACTAGTAGAGGAAAAATACGTGGTCGCAGCACTTATTGATACAGCTTCCCGTTTTAGTACAATAAGCGAAGTATTGGTTGACAAGCTGAAAACAGATCATGGGATAGGACAAGTAATTAAGATTATTAAAAGATAAAACAAAGATGCAGTCGGAAAAATAAATTGTTTAGATATCCAAGAAAGTCCTTTACAAAGAAAATATTATAGATTAAACTTTACAGAAGCTATTGATTTTATCATCGTTAAATCGCCTAAATACCTATTGGTATTAGGACAAACGTGGTTGATTGTCCACAGAGCAAATATCATTTTTAGACGAAGAATTTTATTCCGATGACGATCTTTATTATGAGCTTCCACATTTTAACAAATCAATAGAGAGGAGTTGTTTGCCGAAAAGTAATCCAGTGAAATATGGTGTATGACAGTTCATCCGAATCATCCGAATCTTCTGGAGGTGAATTTTTCGATACAGTTATTATTCCTAAGAAAAAAACAAGAATAATAAATATAAACAGAAAACAAAAAGTGGCCATAGCCAGCTTCATAAAACAAAATTGTCTTGATTGTCGACACGTTAAGAATGTCACATGAGCTTACCGCTAGCATATAATAGTAATAGTATTACTCCGATTCCGGAGTGCTGATCAACATCTCGGAATATTTTTTTTGCTAAGCCGCATGCATGTACTCTTGTGTTACGAAACAAGGCAGAGTCTGTGCAACATCCACATTTCTCATATAGTACCATTCGGTATTTTTTTCGCAAATAAAAATTTTATTCTGGGTTCTATTTGTTTGTAATCCTTTTTAAGACTATTCTACTATACAAATAAGGGATGGACACTTATCTCGTATACAGCAGTTTAGCCAATAAAATTTCACAAAAAATTCTATTCAAGTCGAAAATGTCTATCACGTTACTCTGTCTATTCGTTGCGGACATTATTCAATAAATTTGTCCATGGTACGTATAATGTGGCGGGAAAGGTGGAGAAGCTTCGTGACTGGGATGCTTCGCATCAAAAATTTTTTTTGAGCTTTGCTCACGAAGTAACCCTGTCGTTAACTGCAGATTTCGACGTTGTTGTTAGTCTGAAACGAACTAAATCATTCAAGTGACCCGTGAACATCGAACATGCGACTCTCGATGGCCTCAAAGAACGCATACATGCGGAACTTTTATCATGGAAAATTTTTCCCTCGGAACGATGAAGGCCTTCGTGAAATGCTCCGCATATTCGTATCAAAGAACAATCTCAAGTTCACCGTGTTAATAGAACGCCCTCAAGACCCTTTTCAGATTGGTCATTTCCAAAAGTGTGTCAGTTTTAGAATCAAATGATCCTTCATTATCGGTGTTCCAGTTCTTTATACTCGCAAGTGTAAGGCGGGAAGACGATTCTTCCTATCAATACTTAAACATCTTATAGCCGAACTGGAGGCCCGTCTCAAGATTATCCCGATCAATGAAATGTAGCATGTTCTTACCTTGTTGCAGGCGCAAATTTATACGAAGGTAAGTTTGAGCTCCGATCAGAAAAAATATCACAAGACTCTATGGACACATTTCGCAATAGACTTGCTCTAAACTTGCTCTAAACTGCAAAAACGGTTAGTGTGACAGAGGTAAAGGATGAAGGTTTTACAAGGGTATTGCCCAGAATGCCGTACAACTCGATTCCGCTTTATCGAACCGTAAGCGTAAGGCAAACGAGATGGGGAGGGAGCATTTGCGGGTAAGGTATTCGGGATTATTACAGATGCGAAAGAAAGGTATTGCCGTGTATGACAGTGAGAACATGGGAGGTATGGTTGAAATGGTTCTTGGTCCGACATATTGCTTGGTTATTGGATGAGGTACAAAAATCGGATTCAGATTCTCGGAGAGGGAAATAAAAAGCATAGGTCATCTAGCAATCTTGCGGAAAAACCAAATAGTTCTTAGCGTAGTAATTCATCATATATCATTGGGCAAAGTCCCGAACCTTTGTATTTATTTTAGTAAAACTGGCTATTTCTTCGAAAGGCTAAAATCTGGGCCACTTCGCACTTCGATTCCCTGTATAATTAGTTTACTTTATCTGTTTTAATAAAAAAATTTTCAGCGAACATGATCGCTAAAAAATCACATAGTTATTTTTTTCCCGATTTACTAGTTATTTAATATATACGTCATACCACAGACATATTTTGCTCTATATCAATTTGTCATCAGCGATCAGTTACTGTTTAATGATTTAATGAAGGAATGATATACGTTCGGAGCTTTTCCCTGTTTCGCTGATTGCCATAGGTTAAATTGAGAAATTTGACTGGAGATTTAATAGCTTTTTAATTGTACTCTTTGAGCAATCACCGGCTATTCCCAATAGTTATAAATAATCTATTGTCTTTGAATTGTCTTCTCTTCAACGTACATTTGATATCATCTTTTTGTCGTGTGCTTCATCAGCCATAATATCAAGAAAATCAATTTTTTTTTTTTTTTTTTAATATTAATGAACTTTATATATCTTTTTACGTAGAACAAACTAACTGAGTTTTAAAGATAATCCTTAACCTTGAAATCGTTCGACAATATTTAAATAGAAGGTGAAAATCCTTAGCGATCGCGACGATCATTTGAGGAACTGAAATTAGTTGCGAATGGTTTAAAGTCAGATTTTTTGGTGCGGATTTTATATGTGTAAAAAATGATAATGACCTTGTTAAATTTGTGGGCGAAGAAAGAGATTTCGAAGTATCTTCGGAATAAGAAGTCATCAAATGTGACAGTTGGCAAATACGGAAGATTTTCTGATCCACATATTGGTACCATTGTAAACAGTTACACCCGCCAAGGTGCAGACGTGACTATTGATTGTTAGGGTAAAAGTAGTGTATCCTATTGATGGTACGACACGACACAAAGATTTATTTTTGAATTTATATTATAATGAGTTCACATTTACATTGAAATTTGCCAATTTGCCTTACATAGTAAAATAAAAATACAAAGTACATCCGTCAATGAAGTACGAATTATTTCTATATATAACGTACATTCATTTAAATTTATCTATTTAAATACTTTCGAACTCTTTTCTTGTTTCTTTAAAAAAAAAAAATGTCTCAAAAAAATATTATTATTTATTTTTTAGTTATCTTTGTTTTCGCAGTTATAAATTATGGTAATGCAATAGATGTCAAAGTTGAAGATGGTGATCATCCGTTTGACCCCATGTTCGTTGATGTACATTATGATGAGCCTGTAGGTATTACTTCATTAAAATCAACATGAAATAAATTCTTTTTAAATAAATAAAAATTATTACTTTTTTATTAGGTAGTATTTATAAGAATAGGCACTAAGACGTTTGAACTCGATGAATATGATGATGATTGTACAAAATCCGAAAGACCTGATTCTTGTAAGTAAAAGTATTATACATTTTCTCGTCAGTTATGCTATCATCATTATTTTTTATTAAAAAATGGTGGTTATTTTTTTCTAAAATTAGTTCATGCAGTATTAACGGATGAACAACCGAAAGCTACATTTATACCTAAAAATACTACCGGAAGAACTGAATTTCACATACGCACTAATGGACCCGGTTGTGAGTTGCAGGATCAAATTGTTATTTCTACAAGTGAAGACCTGCAAGAACCTAAGACAAATCAAAAATATAATGTTAATTACGATGATTACGAAGATAATAGCAATAATAACAACAACAATAATAACAACAATAATAACAATAATAATAACAATAATAACAACAATAATAACAACAATAATAACAACAATAACAACAATAATAACAACAATAATAACAACAATAATAACAACGGTAATAACATCAACAACAATAATAAAGACAACAGCGATAATGTTAACGGCAACAGCGGCAATGGCAACGGTAACAGCGGTAATGGCAACGGTAACAGTGGGAATGGCAACGGTAGTGGCAACGGTAGTAACAACAGTTGCACGGGTATTTGCGTTGGTAAAACCAGTGACGCCGGCGATAATGTTCATTGTAGCGCAATAGTTTTTGCTATTATAGGTGTAGTGTTAGCTCATTTCATACTCTGAATCATTTTAGATGGAATACTAGCTTAGAAAAAATTCCGTTGTAAATTGATCTACAATTATCCCCTATTTGACAAACACAAACAATAAACAACCAAGTTTTACAACCGCATTGTTTTTTTTTCGTGTTCGTGTTTTTTGAGCCGAGATAAGAAATAATTAAATAGTGATTGAGTCGTGTCGGCATATTATCGAACAAATGAATAGATGTGTAACACACTCCTTGCATATCCCTTTGTAATTAGTCCGGATTCCGGTGTAACGAAGGATTCGTTTTAGAATCCCGATGTCCGTACCGTTGTACGTCATCTTAATAAGAAAGTACCCGTGATAATGTTTTTTCTTTTATACCGTTTTGTTTATTACGGACTAACTGCTTTCCGAAGTATACATATTTGTTTACAACAAAAACATTTATCTCTTTTTTTATATTAAAATAAATTTTGAAAATCTATTAAATAATGAAAAAATAAATATTTTTAGGAAGCTTAAGCTAGAATATTATTATAAAGCTGTAGACTATTTTTATTTCAAAAAAAAAAAAAAAAAATGATATATTAATTTTTTATTAATATTGTTTAAAGATTTATGAAAAAAGTGAATTTATTCCTAACCCGGGGTGAGATCTGAATATTCCTCACCTCCTTAAATAGAAATTTGATTGGCTAATTTTTGCGGTTTGGTAAAAAATAAATCAGTTATAGTACACTACACTTCATTAAAAAATGGTTTATGTGGAATGTAAAATTCGGTCTTTTCAGATGATGTAAGGCGTTACAAAGCAATGAAAGAAGGTCATACTTTACTATAGGTATTGATCGATACATCATCTTGTGAAAATTTTATTAGAAAAAGCGTGCTTGATAAAATAGGAGTTAGTTAGAAAATTTAACCTGACACCTAGTACATTTCGGTCTTAAATATTATTGGTCAGTTATCTTTCGATCCAGTGATCGTAGAAAGACGAAATATAGCATGTTGGAAACGTCTCATCCAGACGAATCTAACGGTGGCTGTTTTATCTTTCTATAATCACTGGATGGCGAGTAATTCTACAAAACGTTAAAATTCATTATTTAAATATTTTTTACTGCGCCATTTAACGTTGCTTAGCCATGTTAAGTTTTAATACAGATTAATGGATTATCTAATTTGTTACAATTTATTCTAAACCGATTTGGCTGATTCAGTAATAAACTGATTTTTTTTAATATACATATCTTTTTAAATAAATTTTCTATATTGTTACATAGTATTTCTCATACTTATATAATCTATATGTGTGGTCTTTAAAAGACCACCAGTCTTAAAAAGACTGACGGTCTTATTGCTGTTTACAAAGACCATTCAGGACCAGGACCATAAGAGTTTGTAGTCTTTTGGATCCAGTTCTTTTGGTCTTAAGACCGAAAAGATAAGCCCTAGGACCGAGTTAACATCTTTAACTCTTACACGTAACACGTCAACGCAGACAAATTAACGCTTCAGATCAACGACATTTCTAATATTTTCAGATGGACAACTCAAGATATCTCACCGCCATTAACCAATGGTTTTACTTTTGAACCTAATACCAGAAGATTTAGTTGCTATCTTTAGAGCACACATTAATTCAATTAAAATTATTATAAAATTGCTTTTATCTTTTGTTTACGAACTTCATGTTGACATATATCAATCCGTATAGAAAGAAAGACGTAAATTGTTCAACAAATGTAAAAAGAACAAAATTTTCTTTTACGTAATACAAACGTCGTCGAATACACTTTGCTGCACAAGATTCTTCACCTATATTGTCTCGCCGCAAGCGAAACTTAAACACCAGTACTGGCTATTCGAACACTTTTGACAATTTTCGGAATTTACATGACCCTAATCTTTTTGGATTTCGTTTCACGTTGTCATTTTTTTGATTTTTCGATTAATTCTTCGATTTTTAAAGTATTTTATATTATCAGATTAATACTATGGAATTTTTCTAACTATCACCGAGGAGTGATGATCACCAGTGACTGAAATTATGACGATCGACCAGCATTAAAAAAATATAATGCCGGTAAAAATTGATAATTCTGGCCAACGGTGATGATCACCCCGGTGATTTGAAGTAAAAAAACAATACTATATATAGAATTTTTGTATCAAAATTTTGAATGTTACACACGCTGCACAGGGGCTTATTTGTTGATAAATTTATCTGAACTACGTAATTTTTAAAAAATTTTTTTTTACGTTCCATTTTATTATATAGTTAATATTATCTTTGAATTTACTAAGTAAATTGCAATCTACATATACAATCCAAATTAATTTAATATGGAATTATCAAAATTGAACTCTAAAGAAAATAAAAGAAATTTATAGAAGGCAGTTTTAATAGTGAATACCAGGTAAAACAATACATTTTATCATTAATAATATAAAACATTATTGAAATTTTTAATTTAAATAATAATGTATTTTAAATCATTTATTTTAAAAAGAAGCATGTTACAATTTCTACTATTGGTTCAACTACTGAATCAGCAGAAGAGATAGATGATAAAATAGTTTATATGGAAGATTTAAAAAAAAGAAAAAAGTATATAGAATATGTGGAGAATGTGATGAACCTGACAGGAGTAAGATGGTGTCAACCTTATAATGCTAAAAGATTTAAGGATAACTTTAAAAATTGGACTAGTGGAAATAAAGATATTGATGAATTTATACAACAATCACAACTTAATGCTGTGTACTATCAAAAAAATTTTTAATGGATACTTTTGAAAATATTAAAGATATTACTTATTTCGATATCACTAGAGGTGGATTTGGTAAAATTTATTCAGCTGAATGGACTGAAAGATTTATTTATTTTTGGGATATTGAAAATCAAAAATGGAAAAGGTATGGCAGAAAGTTGCATTAAAAAGTTTGGACAATTCTTGTATTAGTACAGAATTTTTAAATGAGGTAATTAAAATAAGAAATGTAATCCATTTACTTTTATTTTTATTATATATATTATTAAAAATTTTCACCTTCAATATTTTCATTAGATTAAACTCATCATCAGATTTATCTTAATGACGTTATTCAATGTTTTGGAATAACTCAAGATCCAAATACCAAAGATTATATGATGTTTTAGAATATTGTGAAGATGGAAATTTGAGAAATTACTACTCCAATAATGAATCAGAAAATTGATGAATTACAACGAATTGCAAGTGGACTTCTAGATATTCATAATGCTGGGAAAGTTCATAAAGATTTTCATTCAGGTAATCATATATTGTGTAATATTGGTCCATATATAAGTGATTTAGGAATGTGCCAACCAGCAAATAATGAAAAGCAATCAGTTAAACAAGAAGGAATTTATGGAGTATTACCTGATATGGCACCAGAAGTTTTACGTGTATCAATATACAAAAGCATCTGATATTTATTCATTTGGAATAACTGAATGATGAATGAATATATATCTAAAGAAACTCCTTATAATAATATTCTTCATAATCATGCTTTAACTATTAAATATGTAAAGGACTTAGACCAAATTTTTTTAAACATACTGTATATCAAAATTACTTGCAGATTTGAATACTAAATGTTGGGATGCTAAAGCAGAAAATAGACCAACTACTAAAGAATTGTATCGAACATTAAGTAAATTGCGTGATACTAGCCATTATTTATGGGTTTTGTATGTAATATTTTGGTTAACAAAAATAAATTATAAATTTGTTAGCTATTGATTGTTCATTTATGTAAATTAATGTTAACTTCAAACTACGCCAGAATATGAATATTAATAGTAATTCTGTTTTTGACGTAAAAGACTTAACATACAGTACGTAATTAAATATAATTAGATTATCACTTTTTGAATAAATTATTATTAGTTTAGGCTATACAAACTTGATTTTATGGTTTATGAAAACCATTTTTACCACTTTATGTCGTCTTATGTATGAATGAAAAATAATTTTGTTATTTATACAAAAATGGTTTTATTTATACAAAAATGGGTTAAATTATACTAAATCGCTTGAAATATTTTTTGGTAAATCATCCTAAAAATTAATGGAAAAACTGAACAAAAATGCAAATGAAAGGATTATTAAATTAGACAAGGACCAAAAATGTAATAAATCAAAACAATAAGAAAGATAAAGGATCAAATAAATGAAATAAAAAGTAAAAGGATCGAATGATAAAGTTGAATCGACAAAAAAGGAAACTAAGTTAAAAATACAACTGAAATAGAAATTCAAGCACAAAGTTTAAACGAATATAAGATGAAAGTCTAATAAGTGGTAATAAGCGATTCGATATATTGATATTTTTGGAAATGTTGGCAATTTTGGTATTGACCATTTATGAACTGGATACACTGATCACATAACAAAAATGAAATTAATTGGTTAAACGGGTTGGTCAAGTGATCAGACAAAAATCATGGTTATAGCTCGACCGACGTCATCACCTAATCTTTAATACAATTTACTATTTATTAAAAATAAAATAAACAATACATTATAATCTATCTTGGTAAAGATATCATTTTAAAATTTCCCTAGTTGTATAATAATATCAAAAGTTTAATTATCATTAATGATGTTTCATATTTGGAAAGTTATTGTTGGTATTTAGTTTCAAGTCTTAAATATATGAAAGACGATTTGATGTTTTACTGGTCTATATAATGATATTTGTACTTGTTTATGATTATGATTTTTATTATTTTTGCTACAAATTTACAAATTTTAATTAAAATTTTTCATTTTAACTATAGTATAAACATCTGTATTATACATCCGTACATTCGTACATCCGTTATATAAATTTCGAAATTAATAAATTAATCATGTGATCGATACACAATACGTCATTTATGCGATCTCGTACTCTCGTAGTACACTTATTACGCCACTTTAACCAAATTTAGTTTTATGCCATTTAAATCGAGCTATTATTCAAAAAAAAAACTTAACATTCAATGGAACGTAAAGAACTTATTCAGTTAGAACATGGGAAAGTAATTATTAAAACAAAATTTTCAAATTGGACCAGTGGGAATGAAAAAATTGATAAATTCATTCAAGAAAAACAGTTAAATTACAAAGGATATGGTGCATTATTTGAATGGATACCATACAATGAGTTTATTGGAATTAAAGAAGTAGAAAATGGTTTTAAAGCAATATGGAAGAGAGGTACATTACGATGTTTTTCTAATAAATTGTTATGGAAAAGAAATTCATGTAAAGAAGTTTCTTTAAAATATTTACATAATTCACAAAATGTTACCGATGAATTATTAAATGAGGTATTAAATTTTTCTTTAAATTTAGATTGAATATTAATAATATTTATGTTAATTATTTCTTTTTTTTAAAAAAAATTTAATAGATTAAAAAATATTCAGGCTATGGGATATCTCAAAATCCAGTTACTAAAGATTATATTATTGTTTTTAGTGGTGAATATTCTAATTATCATGAAAATTATGATTATACATATGATTTAAAGAATAATTTTACAAATTGGACCAGTGGGAATGAAATTATTGATAATTTCATTCAAGAAAAACAGTCAAAATATTTATTTGGTGTAGTATTTGAATGGATACCATTCAATAAGTTTGTTGATGTTAAAGAAATAGGGAATAATTGTTTAACTAGAGCAACATGGGGAGAAGGTAAATTATCCTATATTGGAAAGGAATGGATAAGAAGTTCATCATATGAAAAAGTTTGTTTAAAATATCTATATGATTCTGATGAATTTATAAATAAGGTTAATAAAATTTTCTATGGATTTAGTTTGAGTATTAAATAGATATATTAATTTCATTTTTTTTTTTTTGTATTTTAATAGATTGAATCATATTTAACAAAGGAATGCTACGGGATGTCTCGAGATCCAGTTACAAAAGATTATATTTTAGTTTATTCCGATTATTATTTTACGAATAATTGTAAAAAATGTGGTAATGAATATACTGAATATTATTACTGTGAACCATGTCAAATAAATCATGCAATAAATAATCTTACAAACCGGACTAGTGGAAATGAAATAATTAATAATTTTATTCAAGAAAAGCAATTAAAACTTAATAATATTAAGGGTTATAAAACATTATTTGAGTGGATACCATACAGTAAATTTATTGAAATTAAAGAGATAAATGAAAAAGTAGGATTTACTGAAGCAATATGGAAAGATGGTTTTTTACATTATGAAACGAGGAATGATGTATGGAAAAGAAATTCATATGAAAAAGTTTGTTTAAAATATTTATATGATTTAACAAAATATTACTAATGAATTTATAAATAAGGTATTAAAAATTTTCTATGAATTTAGTTTATTTAGTTTTGAATATTAATAAATGCATATTAATTTTTTATAGGTTGAATCATATTTAATAACAGGATGTTATGGAATATCTCAAAATCCAGATACAAAAGTTTATATTTTGGTATTTATTAATGAATATTCTGATCTTTATTGTAAAAAATGTGGTGATAGATATAATCGTGAATTATGTAAATCATGTCAAAGTGATTATTTAAAAAATAATCTTACAAATTGGACTAGTGGAAATGAAAAAATTGATAATTTTATTCAAGAAATACAATTAAAATATGATGGATATGGGGATATATTTGAATGGATATCATACAATGAATTTATTGATGTTAATGAAATAGGTGATAATTGTTTAACTACAGCAATATGGAAAAATGGTCCATTACGTTGTGATACTAAAAAAAAAGAATGGATAAGAACATCATATGTGAAAGTTTCATTAAGTTATCTACAATATTCTAATGATGAAGAAATTATAGATAAGGTAATTAAATTTCTTTAATTTTAATCATTATATTAAATAATACTAATTTTTATATATATATATATATATTGATAGATTGAAAAAGAAATTGGGTATGGAATATCTCAAGATCCAGATACAAATGATTATATCTTGATTTTTTCCGATTATTATTATGAAACTCATTGTGAAAAATGTGGGAAAAATTATGAATTTAAATATAGTGATTTTGAAAAGTGGTGTAAATTATGTCAAATGAATCATTTAAAAATTAATTTTATAAACTGGACTAGCGGAAATGAGAAGGTTAATATTTTAATTCAAAATACACAATTAAAAATTAATAATTGTGATGATATGATATTTGAATGGATACCATATAATAAGTTCATTAATGTTAATGAAATAGGAAAAAGTGGAATTTTTACGGCAATACGGAGGGAAGGATCATTACATTATAGTAAAAGAACTAAGAAATATAAAAGAAAATTAAATGAGAAAGCTGTATTAATATATTTAAATAATTCACAAAGCTTTTGTAATAATGAATTTTTAAATGAGGTATGTACTAATTTCTATAAATTGAAAGTAATTTAAAATTTATACGCAGGTGTGTTGCAACGCACCTGCATAACATTATTATTTCCATTTATTTATAAATGATTTAACTTTATAAACTTATTATATTTAACAGATTAAATATTTAATTAAGGAGAGTTATGGAATATCTCAAGATCCAAATACAAATGATTATATTTTGGTTTCTCAAGATAAATATTATTGTGAAAAATGTGGTAAAAAATATGATAGTGAACTTGAAATAAATAATAAAAGTTGTACATCATGTCAAACAAGTCATGAAAACAAAAAAATTAATGATTTGATTCAAGAAATGAGATTAATTAATAATGATTATAACATTAAAATATGCGGTACAATATTATTTGAATGGATATCATATGATCAGTTTGATGATATTAGAGAAATAGGTAAAAGATGTTATTCTACAGTATATTCAGCAATATGGAAGGATGGTTTATTATATGATAAAAAAATCAATCATCAATGGAAAGGAATAAGAAAACAAGAATATAAATGGGAAAGAAAACCAAATGCAAAAGTTGCTTTGAAATGTTTACATAATTCCAAAAATTTTCTTGATGAATTTATAAATAAAGTAAGTAATTTCTTCATAATTTTTTTTTTTTTTTCAGTAATAATATAAAATTATTAAAATTAAATTACTATCTAATAGGTTAAAATATACTCAAATAGATCAATGGAAAATATTCTTAAAATATATGGAATATCTCAAAATCCGAATACAAATGATTATATTATGGTATTTGAATATGCAGAAGGTGGAACTTTCAATAATTATCTAGTAAAAAATCACGAAAGTTTTGATTGGCTTAAGGGATTAAGTGCATTAGCTAATATTATTAATGGACTTAATGAAATTCATCAAAATCACATAGTTCATCGTAATTTTCATATTGGAAATATATTATTTACAAAAATGGATCCTGGTGATAAAGATTATATTAATTATAATTATAATCATATTAATGATCGTTATGAAGCATGTATTTCTGATATAGGATTATTTAGAAAAATTGGAGATACTGATAAAACAAATATTTATGGAGTTATGCCTTACGTGGCACCTGAAGTATTAAAAGGAAAACCTTATACTCGAGCAGCAGATATATACAGTTTTGGTATGATTATGTACGTTGTTGCAACTGGAAAACAACTTTTTGCTAATTGTGCTCATGATAAGTCTCTAATATTAAATATATACAGTGGAGTTAGGCCTGAATTAAATGAGAAAATTGCACCAAAATGCTATATTGACTTGATGAAAAAATGTTGGAATTTAGATCCAGACAATAGACCGGGATCTGTTGAAATAAAAGAATTGATTTACTTATTTTATAATTTGTTAAATGGGAGCTGTCGAACAGCACAAGAACATCATTATGAAATTAGAAAACAATTTGAACAGACTCAAGAACATAGAAAAGAAAATCTTTTAATGATTGAAAGTAAACCAATTGACTACTCATACACAAGCTATTTATACATCTAGATTACTTAATCCTTTTACAAGCAAGTAATCCTTTGTGTAGTAGAAATTGCTGGTTTTTTTACAAAGTTATATTTCTTATACTACTATTTTTTTATTTATCTCATTTCTTATATATTATATCTATAATTTTTTTTTTTCTTTTAAGAAAGGGTTTGAAATGTAAGATAGAAAGAGTTTATTGAACTTCATATAGATGATCTTAAATAAAAATATTTTCAATAAAGGTAGTAACAGTTTCAACTAAAATTTTAGTATATTAGCATATTTCCACAGTCTATCAATTAAAAAAATTGTGTTCATTATTATGTTTACGAAATAATGATTAACATACATCGGAGGTGTATTTTTTGTAGAGTCTATAATCTTATATTTATCCAATGTAAATTTTATTATATAAATTTTTATAAATCTGAAATACATATGAATTATTTATTTATTTTTTATATAATTGTATACTACATAGACTATACAAAAATACAACTCCCGATGAGATACTGATTACCATAACATCATTGAAATAAAAAGAAATTCTTGACAAGAGTCTTAAATAAATTACCTGAAAAAAGTCAAAAAGTCAATGTACTGTATATTATTTTTTTTTGCAACGCAAATTAATAAATTCGCAGTATTATGCACCAAAAGTATTAAAATATGATGTAATTGTAAAAGGGCTAGTATAGCGTCTAATACTTCCTCTTTATTTTACTAAAGTTAAAGAAACTTCTGGTATAACCCTTATTCTATCCCTACACATTTACTAAATCCTACTATAAATTACTAAATACTTCATTAACTCCATCAAATACTCATTTACCGCTTCCCATTTCTTATCCTTTTTCTTCAAAAAGATGGTACTCCGATATGGTAAAATTCTTTTTTTCTTGTATACTAATTTTAGAAAGTCCAATCAGTGAAAAGTATTGAAATTTATCCAATTAGAATTGTTTAAACTGTTATTTTCATTTAATTAAGGATAACAATGATCGATCAATAAAAAGTTTATAATTATTGAAAATATCCAGATCATGTGTGCAAATCGTAGATTTTTTTGCTAATTACTTGATAAATGTCACCGGCCTAATATTATTAAATTAATATAAGTTAAAAAATATTTATTATAAATTCGAATGTCATGATTTTATTAGAAATTGAACAAGTTCAAAATAAATCACATTTCATATATTTTACATTTTATAGTCCTAACTTCCCTTTAAACATGAACTCTTGTTGTATTATAAATTTTTCGTAATTTCATTTTTTTTTTCTTAAAAAAAGAAAAAAGATTCAAATTTAAATAATTATTTATCTAAGGTATTTCATACCTAATATTTTCTCGATTGATTACATTTAAATCATAAAAAGAACAGCGAAAATTAATTTAAAGGAAATGGATTTTTATTGAAAAGTTATTTTATTTAAGCCTTAAAGGATGGGTAGTCTAAAAAGAAAAAATCATTCTTTTTTTTTTATAACCAATCAATAACTAATGTTTAATTACTCAATATGTTGAAATTTATCGTACTGAAATTTATTTGTCAATTTGGAGCTTAAGATTAAAAATAAATAATTAAATTTTCTTGATACGAGGGGATATGCAATATCCTACCTGTCACAATGTAACATGATTTCGCGATTATGTAAATTATGAAAACGCAAAATTTTTTATAAATTTTATTAATTTTACCAATTTTTAATACATAAATATACAATAAATTTGCCATTGCCCTAATTTTCTTTATATACTTTTACCTATAAACCCATAAACTAAATATCCTAAAATAACCCTAACGCAATAATAACGCCACGCACCGATCCTAACCTTAATGCATATTATCATGGGGTTCCTTAATGTATAGTGGGGTGTACGATATTAACGTACGAACTGGCTATTAACGTTAACGCTATCACGTGCAAGTGTATAGCTCCTAAATTCTGGTAAGATGTATATACACGTTAAGGACGCCCATTATCATGTACCTCATAGTCCTCATATTAATGATAAAATAAGCATTTTCTTTATCATACTTTACATTCTTTTGGGACAATTTCGTGATGATATCATGATTTACAAATAGAGCATTGTTTCTTATCCCTTTTTCTTCTTATATCCTAAGCTTCTTCCTAAATATTTTCATTTCAGGTTCATTGTCAATATCACTAGATTCATTATTATTTTCATCATATTATGGTATAGGAGAAAATCCTGGATATCGTTCATCTAAATTTATTTTAACAAATTAAGACGTTTTAAAGGAAAAAACAGCTAATAGCGAAATTCAATATAAATAATATAAATGAATAGATTATCAAAAAGTATAAAGAAGCTTAATTAATCAGAATATCATGTGACAATTTACAAGACATGACATAGGATACGTACATCAAAAAATAAAAAAAATCAAATGAAAAAGACAAGAACAGCTCAGAACCGGCCTATAAACCGTTTATAAATTGGTCTAGTTGAAGGGCCGGGCTTTTTGGAATTGCCGGGCAATTCATATAACAATTCCACGTTAACTTGATAAGAAGTACTTTACATACAAAACATTTTTGTTAAGGTTTTAAAACAAATGAATTTTGTTATGATTTTGTAAGGATTAATAGAAAAATAATGATTTGTTAATAGTTTAAGATGGTATGAACGTCAATACATGTAATTTTCTAAAATATTAGAAACATGTATTCTAGTTCCATTAGGACAAAATATCTTTTTAAAGTTTTCGATATTTGCCCTAAGCCTCTAATTACTGTACGTACTAGTACGTTCTAACTTTTTATGATTTTAAAGACAGCTCGACAAATGACCCTTTATAAATTGTCTATTATTTTATTATCATTATTATAAACCGATGGTCTGGAGAAGGATTGTACATTTAGGTTGTTGGGCACTGGTACTGTTAGAAAATTCAGGTTTGAATTTTTAGCGATATCTCGCTTGTTGGTCTTTATTTGAGTTCTTTATGTCATCTGACGTTGCAGAATTATTGATAAAAAATGTATACCAGTTCTTGAGATAAATGCAGGTGTCGGCAAGATGCTACCAATGAATGAACCACCCGCGAGCAAGTGGCGAATGCTGACGCAAATCTCCATGGAATGAGCGTAAAAAGATTCCGCCGTCATCACTATCAAAAGCATTATTTAACTATAATTAACAAAGATTTTCATGAAAATATGACAAAGCTCATAAAACGTGGAACTAGAACCAAAAATTTTATTCAACAACAATTATTGAACAAAAAAATGAACGACTTTATTAAAAACTTGCCTAATTTTTTTGTTCTAATTCAAAGTTAAGATGATCTTGGCGAAGTTTTTTCTCATATAGATTCATAAAGGTGAACAAATCTCGGCACCCTAGTGCTATGAATTTTCCATTATTAGAATATAGAATAATATCAAGATGTTCGGTATAGGATTAAAAGGTCTTCCAGTTCAATTTTTTTTGACCAGTTTGTCTTTCAATTTTGTCCAGTGAGACTCCGCCTTCCTCAATACTTCCTCTATGCTTTCAAATACTTTTGATGAAATAAGCTTTGTTAGAAAGTTTTTTGACATCATTCCAAACCAATAGATACTCGAAATTATTTAAAAATACAGTACCTTGCATAATGCCTTATAAAACACCTGCTTTAACGCGAAAAAAAATAATTCTTGTTCGAGAGATAAAGTATTGGGAGACATTTATGTGGCAGGAACTATGAAGATATGAAGATATTCGCCCTTAGGTAATTTTATTTTTTGGTTGGTCTAGTCCCCAACTATAATAGTATTTTTTAATTGAAGGAAAAAGAAAATAAGTAGTGTTAAAACATCACTAAAAAAAACAAAAAAAATATTTTCTACCTAAAATCTAGTTTGTAATTTCGTCTGGAACTCCCTATAAAAGAAGAAAAAAAGAAGTTAATCTAATTAATAAGAAAATCACCTCCAAGAATTGAACTTGGACACAAAAATTGTGGAACCAACGGTGATGGATTTTGTTGAGTTAATAAGTTATTAAGGAAAGAACTCAACAAAGGAATGAAATAAAGGGTATCACATGTGAAGAAGGAAATCACATGAGATAGATCAAATGATCACAAGAAAGGTAAATTTTACAAGACAAAGGACCTCTCTGACACCAATTAGCACAGTGCAATGCTTCATGGGCGATGCAAACGATCCCCTTATAAAATTTATCTATCTAAGAATGGTCAAATGATCAAGAAAGGGTAAATTTTTACAAGACAAAGGATCTCTCTGACACCAATCAGCACAGTGCAATGCTTCATGGGCGATGCAAACGATCCCCTTGTAAAAATTATCTATCTAAGAATGGTCAAGTAATCCCAAGTTGACCAAAGGGGAAAGATTACGTCTCCATGCTATATTTGGTAAGCAATGGGCCAAGCTACGTAATATAAGTTTATTTAATTAAGATATTGGGAGATTAAAAGGAGAATTATATTCACTAAATAGGTTATTTTATAAAGTAGAGAATAAGAAAAGATGAGAATCTGAATTATGCAATTGAGTAAATAAAGAAAATGAAGAAGAATAGATAATAATGTAAATAAAATACGAAAAAGAATTGATAATAATAAATGTTTAAAAGAATAAAATATATTAATTAGATATGAAGGAAGAGATTGGAGTTGGTTGAGAGAAATGATTATAGTGCACATGAATTTCAATAAGTGAAGAATTAGGACAATTGTATTAGTGAGAAGGTTGGTATATATGAGGAGAATTATAAAAAGAATGTAAAAAAATCCGGTAAGTAATGGTAAATAAGGTTGAGATGTTTCAATGATAGGTAAAGGATTATTGTAACATTTGTTGATAGGAAATTCATTTAAGATAGTATTGATAGTATTTGGACACAAATGATAAGACATTTTGTAATTGTAAATTATAAATTTGAATTGAAATTTAGGTGATTGTAAAAGTTTTGCAAGATTTGTAAGATTTGAAAATTGAAATTTGGTTTTTGATTTTTTCCTTGAGGAAATTAAGGGTATTTATATATTTTTTAA